AGAAGGAACGGATTTTGACCCCCTTACCGAAGAAGGCCAAGTCGATATTAACGATGAAGAATTCGACGAATGGACCCAAGGCGCGGAAACCGACCCCCTAATCTACGACGCAGCTTTATATAACAAATATGGCAATAGGTGGAAAAGCTTCAAGGCAGCCTTGAATCGCATGTGGCAATCAAAGAACCGCGGCAGCCCCGTCCCCGAGTACTTGGAACTTCAAAACACATACGAAGCAGCCGCGGGGGAAACCGTAGAGTGGGCGATGCAAGAGCTAACGCGGCGCTACGACAACTTTGATGCTGACGACGTAAAGCTTACGGAAAAGGGAAACAAAGTCCTCATAAGCGTCCAAGACTTAAGATTTCCCGACAAAGACCGCTGGACAAAACCGCAGCCCCTCTTTGATGAGGAGGGCAACATTAGGGGCGACGTCTCAAGATTAAAAGGCTTTCAGCAGGCTACTAGGAGCATGTTAGAAAGGTTGAGAGCCCTAACCGAAAGGGTTGAAATCGAAAAGCGCGCCGAGGAGCTGCAAAGGGAGTTAGAAAAAGGAGACGCAGAGTACGCAAAGCAAGGTCAACTACTTGCCGATGCTGAAAAGAAGTCCGCCCATCAAGACGAAAGGATGAAAGAAATGAGAAACCAGTTGGATAAAACCCTGCGCGAAAGAGATAAAGCACAAAGGGACTTAGAAGAAGCCCAAAGCTCTGGCACCTCAACGGAAGCGCTGCGGGAAACGCTGGAAGAAAGGGAGGAGGAATACATGAAGCAAACCCAGCGGCTTGCCGACGCGCATAGGAGGGAAGTCGAATTCAAAGACCAAGAAATAAGGGAGTTGGTAGACCAAAGAACCCGAATTCGTCGCGAAAGAAATCAAACTCAAAGGGCTCTTAACCTCGCCCTGCAAGAGTTGGATCTAATTAAAGAYGATACCGATAACCTACAAACCACCATAGCCGGCTCTTTAGTGGAACGGCGACGGTTAATGGCTGAAATTAACACCATGGAGGAACAAGTCCGGCAAAGAGATCAGGCCATCGAAGACCTGGAGGGGCAAATAGAGCGGCAGCAAGAAGTAATTGCGGACCAAACTCGTACCGAAGAGGAAAGGGAGGCTGCCCAAAGGGAATTAGAAACCCTTCAGGAGAGAGTTGCGGAGTTGCGGGCGGAAAAGGAGAAGCTGGAGAAAGAATTAGGGCTTACCACCAAGGAAAAGGTAAAAAGAGCTCTGGTGAAGTATGGTATTCCGCTGGCATTTGCGGTTGCTATTTCGAGCGTAGTAGGAGTTATCCTTAGCACGGTTAAGGCTACAGGCGCGGGCGTAAGCAAGTTAGGCAGTGGACTAACGGACTTGGGAAAAAAGATGGCAGCCGGTCTTCCTGGGCTGCTGGGTTCGGTTGTTTCCTTGGTACTTAGGACCGGCGGCGAACTGTTGAAGTTCGTGGGGAATAACGTTTGGATCCTCGTAGTAGCTATTGGAGTGGTACTCCTGAAGAAGATGAAGGGTTAATCTTATCCTTGTATGTTATGTCGGGCTTATCGTCGTCGGGTGTCCGAGGCATCCTCGACTGGGGATAAGTAAAGATAGTATTCGCACCGCCTTGATAATGCGGAACTAGTGGTATGGCGGTCATGGTGCTAATGGTCTTATGATTCCAAATAGCATCCTGTGGACGAAGATCCTTCCCATAACTAGTATTCATTCCAACCGCACCGAGTTGGTGATCAGTGATACGATCGCTTGGGCGAATATGTAGCCTCGCGTGTTGACAGTTGGCTATCATGTGAAAAGTCACCAGCGACTTGTTCTCAAATGACGTCTGCGGAGACTCAAACGTAAAATGCGCCGAATGTCTATTATCATCTCTTTCTCTGTAGGGTAGCAATGGATGGTCATTCTCATCGACGATTCTAAACCCAGCATTGCTGTCATTGAACGCGCTAATGTTAATGGTGCATATGATCATACCAAGGCCTCCAACCTCTACCTGTAGGCCGGTATTAAACCATTCATCAACATAGTCCAAGGTTTCCTTAAGACGAAAGGAAAACGAATCCTCCTTTACATGTGGATTCATATATTTAAAGACTCAACGCCGTAAGAGTGCTAATGGTTGCGTGATTATAGGTCGTGTCTCTTTGATCTTCTATGCTATTCACGCAAACGCCCCCACTGTCATCTACGCGCATTTGCAACTTTACCTTCCCATGGCAATCGGCGACCATATGGAAAGTCCAAGTCGTAAGATTCTCAGCGCTATTCGTTGGCGGCTCTACGGAGAAATGCGCAGGCTCCCTGTTGTT